CTGAAAACGTAACACTGACCACCATGGTGGATACTGAATCCTGAACACGTAACACTGACCACCATGGTAGATACTGAACACTTAACACTGACCACCATGGTGGCTACTGAACACCTAACACTGACCACCATGGTGGATACTGAACACGTAACACTGACCACCATGGTGAATACTGAATACTGAACACGTAACACTGACCACCATGGTAGATACTGAACACTTAACACTGACCACCAAGGTGGCTACTGAAAACGTAACACTGACCACCATGGTGGATACTGAATACTGAACACGTAACACTGACCACAATGGTAGATACTGAACACTTAACACTGACCACCATGGTGAATACTGAACACGTAACACTGACCACCATGGTGAATACTGAACACGTAACACTGACCAGCATGGTGGATACTGAATACTGAACACGTAACGCTGACCACCATGGTAGATACTGAACACTTAACACTGACCACCATGGTGGCTACTGAAAACGTAACACTGACCACCATGGTGGATACTGAATCCTGAACACGTAACACTGACCACCATGGTAGATACTGAACACTTAACACTGACCACCATGGTGGCTACTGAACATCTAACACTGACCACCATGGTGGATACTGAATACTGAACACGTAACACTGACCACCATGGTAGATACTGAACACTTAACACTGACCACCATGGTGGCTACTGAAAACGTAACACTGACCACCATGGTGGATACTGAATACTGAACACGTAACACTGACCACCATGGTAGATACTGAACACTTAACACTGACCACCATGGTGGCTACTGAACACCTAACACTGACCACCATGGTGGATACTGAATACTGAACACGTAACACTGACCACCATGGTAGATACTGAACACTTAACACTGACCACCATGGTGAATACTGAACACGTAACACTGACCACCATGGTGGATACTGTAAACGTAATACTGACCATCAAGGTGAATACTGAATACTGAACACGTAACACTGACCACCATGGTAGATACTGAACACTTAACACTGACCACCATGGTGGCTACTGAAAACGTAACACTGACCACCATGGTGGATACTGAATACTGAACACGTAACACTGACCACCATGGTAGATACTGAACACTTAACACTGACCACCATGGTGAATACTGAACACGTAACACTGACCACCATGGTGAATACTGAACACGTAACACTGACCACCATGGTGGATACTGAATACTGAACACGTAACACTGACCACCATGGTAGATACTGAACACTTAACACTGACCACCATGGTGGCTACTGAAAACGTAACACTGACCACCATGGTGGATACTGAATCCTGAACACGTAACACTGACCACCATGGTAGGTACTGAACACTTAACACTGACCACCATGGTGGCTACTGAACACCTAACACTGACCACCATGGTGAATACTGAACACGTAACACTGACCACCATGGTGAATACTGAACACGTAACACTGACCACCATGGTGGATACTGTAAACGTTATACTGACCATCAAGGTGAATACTGAATACTGAACACGTAACACTGACCACCATGGTAGATACTGAACACTTAACACTGACCACCATGGTGGCTACTGAAAACGTAACACTGACCACCATGGTGGATACTGAATACTGAACACGTAACACTGACCACCATGGTAGATACTGAACACTTAACACTGATCACCATGGTGAATACTGAACACGTAACACTGACCACCATGGTGAATACTGAACACGTAACATTGACCACCATGGTGGATACTGAATACTGAACACGTAACACTTACCACCATGGTAGATACTGAACACTTAACACTGACCACCATGGTGGCTACTGAAAACGTAACACTGACCACCATGGTGGATACTGAATCCTGAACACGTAACACTGACCACCATGGTAGATACTGAACACTTAACACTGACCACCAAGGTGGCTACTGAAAACGTAACACTGACCACCATGGTGGATACTGAATACTGAACACGTAACACTGACCACAATGGTAGATACTGAACACTTAACACTGACCACCATGGTGAATACTGAACACGTAACACTGACCACCATGGTGAATACTGAACACGTAACACTGACCACCATGGTGGATACTGAATACTGAACACGTAACACTGACCACCATGGTAGATACTGAACACTTAACACTGACCACCATGGTGGCTACTGAAAACGTAACACTGACCACCATGGTGGATACTGAATACTGAACACTTAAGACTGACCACCATGGTAGATACTGAACACTTAACACTGACCACCATGGTGGCTACTGAACACCTAACACTGACTACCATGGTGGATACTGAATACTGAACACGTAACACTGACCACCATGGTAGATACTGAACACTTAACACTGACCACCATGGTGAATACTGAACACGTAACACTGACCACCATGGTGGATACTGAAAACGTAATACTGACCATCAAGGTGAATACTGAATACTGAACACGTAACACTGACCACCATGGTAGATACTGAACACTTAACACTGACCACCATGGTGGCTACTGAAAATGTAACACTGACCACCATGGTGGATACTGAATACTGAACACGTAACACTGACCACCATGGTAGATACTGAACACTTAACACTGACCACCATGGTGGCTACTGAAAACGTAACACTGACCACCATGGTGGATACTGAATCCTGAACACGTAACACTGACCACCATGGTAGATACTGAACACTTAACACTGACCACCATGGTGGCTACTGAACACCTAACACTGACCACCATGGTGGATACTGAATACTGAACACGTAACACTGACCACCATGGTAGATACTGAACACTTAACACTGACCACCATGGTGAATACTGAACACGTAACACTGACCACCATGGTGAATACTGAAAACGTAACACTGACCACCATGGTGGCTACTGAACACGTAACACTGACCACGATGGTGGATACTGAATACTGAACACGTAACACTGACAACCATGGTAGATACTGAACACTTAACACTGACCACCATGGTGAATACTGAACACGTAACACTGACCACCATGGTGGATACTGAAAACGTAATACTGACCATCATGGTGGATATTGAACACGTAGCACTGACCACCATGATGGATACTGAACACGTAACACTGACCACCATGGTGGATACTGAACACTGAACACTGAACACTGAACACTGAACACCATAGTGGATATTGAACACGTAACACTGACCACCATGGTGGATACTGAACACTGAACACTGACCACCATGGTGGATACTGAACACTGAACACTGAACACTGACCACCATGGTGGATACTGAACACGTAACACTGACCAACACGGTGAATACTGAACACGTCACACTGACCACTATGGTGGCTACTGAACACGTTACACTGACCACCACGGTGGCTACTGAACACTTAACACTGACCACCATGGTTGATACTGAACACGTAACACTGACCACCATGGTTGATACTGAATACTGAACACTGAACACCATGGTGGATACTGAACACTTAAAACTGACCACCATGGTGGATATTGAACACGTAGCACTGACCACCATGGTGAATACTAAACACTTAACACTGAACACCATGGTGGATACTGAACACTTAACACTGACCACCATTGTGAATACTGAACACTTAACACTGACCACCATGGTGGATATTGAACACGTAACACTGACCACCATGGTTGCTACTGAACACTTAACAATGAACACCATGGTGGCTACTGAACGCTTAACAATGACCACCATGGTTGCTACTGAACACTTAACAATGAACACCATGGTGGCTACTAAACACGTAACACTGACCACCATGGTGGCTACTGAACACTTAACAATGAACACCATGATGGATTCTGAACCCTGAACACCATGGTGGATACTGAACACTTCATACTGAACACCATGGTGGATACTGAACACCATGGTGGCTACTGAACACTTAACAATGAACACCATGGTGGATTCTGAACACTGAACACCATGGTGGATACTGAACACTTCATACTGAACACCATGGTGGATACTGAACACTTAACACTGACCACCATGGTGGATACTGAACACTAAACACTGAACACCATGGTGGATACTGAACATTTCATACTGACCAGCATGGTTGATACTGAACACGTAACACTGAACACCATGGTGGCTACTGAACACGTAACACTGACCACCATGGTTGCTACTGAACACGTAACACTGAACACAATGGTTGCTACTGAACACTTAACACTGAACACAATGGTGGCTACTGAACACTTAACACTGACCACCATGGTAAATACTGAACACTTCATACTGAACACCATGGTGGATACTAAACACGTGTATTGTATTTTGTGACGTCCGTGTATTGTACTTTTGTGACGTACGTGTATAGTGCATTTGTGACGTATATGTACGTGTATTGTATTTCTATGTTGCACGTGTATTGTGCTAATGTGACGTACGTTCATTTTACTTTTGTGGCGTACGTGTATTTTACATGTAAAGTGATTTGTTCTTCTGTGACAAATATGCATAGTGCATTTCTAAAGTTTTCATTTCAGCAAACAAGAATAAACTTATCTTGTGCTTTTGTGACGTACGTGTATTGTACTTTTCTGAAGTACTTGTATTGTACTTTTATGACGTACGTGTGTTGATAGTTTGTGACGTGCGTGTATTGTGCTTTTGTGACGTACGTGTATTGACTTTTGTGACGTACGTGTATTGTACATTTGTGACGTACGTGTATTGTGCTTTTGTGACGTACGTGTATTGACTTTTGTGACGTACGTGTATTGTACATTTGTGACGTACGGGTATTGGTCTTTTGTGATGTACGTGTATAGTACATTTGTGACGTACGTGTGTTTATCTTTTGAGACGTACGTGTTTTGTACATGTAAATTGCTTTGTTCTGTGACGACTATGCATTTCAAGTTTTCTATTTCACCAAACAAGAATAGATCTTACCATGGCAGAAACCAAGAGAACAGAGAAGGAATACCAGGGAAAGGATGAGTCTGACTGCGAAATTTGATCTATCCATCGTCTGAAATTCTAAAGAAAAATTCATGCAATGTATATTGTAGCATTCATATATTTAATACTAATCACTACACCTCTGCTCACATTGGGTCTATATTTAAAACCCCGATCAGTGATTCCGTAACCACGAATTCCAGTGAGCATTTTCAACTCCCTGGGTAGTATCGGGTACATATTGCCTGCTGGGCGAATAGAGGCAGGTGCACCCATGCAGACACCACACGTTTTGACACCTGTGTTTCGGGCGTTTGAACGTATTTGTGTTTCAGCCATCTGGTCACTGGTACCTACTAGGAATCAATCCAGCTGTAATATAATGCTGCTTGTTAGCAATCGACTTCAGACGTCGCTGACCTGACTGATTCCAAGATCGATGCTGCACACCCTCGTGATAGGATGGGCGCGGTGGGGTAGCCTGGTGGCTGGTGGTTAAAGCGTTCACTTGTCTCGCTGAAGACCAGTGTTCAATTCCCCACATGGGTACAATGTGTGAATCCCATTTCTGATGCAACCCACAGTGCGGCGTAAAACAATACTCACTCACTTATATCTACGGAATAAAAAATAAAGTAAAGGGCGATTGGAGGCCCCTTCTACAGTGTTCCACAATGGACGCCCCCTGCCCCCCTCGGGGTACACAAGGATGTGGCAAATATCTATTTCATCTCCATATGAAAACAGAGGCCTCGTATTGTTACATTTTTCCCAGAAGATAAAGATTTACTGGCTCAGGGCTAGAGGTGTTTTATAAGTATAACACATGTCACTCATAAAGGGGCCTGGTGTGTCTTTGAGCGTTTTTGTATTGTAAACTTTTGTTGTGCCCACGCTGTAAACAAATGTTTCAGAAGAAGTTAAATATTATGTCACCGCCTTTGTGGTCTGGTGGATATTGCATCTGACGGGAGAGTAGAAACGTTAAAACAGCGTTTAGAGGTAAAACAAGGTCGGCTCCATGTCAGTGTACTGCCTCTGAGTTGGGTATCCATGTTAAACTGACATACAACACAGAAAGTAAGAAACACATACACTCACACACACACACATACACACACTCACTCACTCACACATACATACATACTTACACACATACACACTCACACACACATATATACCTACAAACACCACACCACACACACATACATACGCCCCGCTGACACACACACACACACACACACACACACACAGACACACACACACACATACACACACACACACACACTCTCACACACACACATACACTCACACACACATACACACACTCACACACTCACACATACATAGATACTTACACACATACACACACACATATGTATACCTACAAACACCACACCACACACACATACATACGCCCCGCTGACACACACACACACACACACACGTACGCACGCACGCACGCACGCACGCACGCACACACACCACACACACACACACACCACACCGCACACACACACACCACACACCACACACACACACACAGACACACACACACACACATTGACATTACCGTCTCTGTTAATGAATCTTGTTGGAATAGTTAACTGTGCCTTCGTGTGTTACCAGGTTTATAAAGAATACCAGCTAGCATCTCAATCCATCGAAGAAAAATGCGGAAAAACAATGTCCCATGGCCAATTCCGACAATCTGATCAATAACATTTCCAGGTAGGAAGGAAATCGTATGCTACAAAATAAGGGAACAAATGATTTGAATGTAACTATTGTTTAGGAGTACATGAACACTACCGTGTTGTGCATCTAATCTAATCACAATGAAATTGCACATCATGCATAAACAGAGTGTGATGCACGTGCACACAGAAGGCAAAATATGTGCACCTATCGGGGAAGCCGCAATCCTTAAACGCTTTAAATGCCTTTGAGACAGTACATCCACGACCAGACAAAATGACGACTTGTTGGGACGTGAATATCGTAAGTTGCCCGAGTATAGTAAACTACGTTTATAACTCGCTTATATCGAACTTACCGATATAACGAACTTTTGTTTTAATCCCGGCCATTTGTTGTTTATATGCTTATGCCGAACTGCGGTCATAACGATCTAAAATTAGTGGTCCTTTTGAGTTCGTTATAACCGTAGTTTACTGTAATTAGCATTCACTGAACTATGAAGTTTTTGAAAGTGGTTTGCGTTCATGTTAGGAACCTTTTTAAATTAGATTTGCGCAAATTGATAACAATAATCATATCTCTGATGTATTAATTTCAAGTGAATATAAATTCGAAATTATAAACCATTTCAGTAAATTTACTTATACAAACGTTAAACAGAAAAATACCTTAATTTTCGGGGATATCGTATCTGTCACACGACATTAGGGTTAATCTCACGTGTCATGTTATAACATTTCCAGAAGACAATTAATGACTCATAAATATTCACCAATCCTAAAATCAGGTGTTTTGGTTGAACATTTATCATATACGAAAATACAAATCTCGTGTCATGACGCTAGCAGATGTAGGAAAATCAAACATGGCGCGTTTCCCTCGACCTCAGCATAACCTATTGCTATTTTAATATCCACAAAGTCTACAGTGCCTTCATAAGTATGCCTTCATGTATGTTTCATTTGTCATTTTTTGTTTGTTTAACATGACGAGAGAAAAACGAAAATGAAGATCGTGAATTCTGGTAGCAATATTTCAGTAAGTGCAAAGGTCACCGGATGTGATGTCATAGACAGGGGTAGTCTGTTCATATACTTCTGTTACGAAACAAGTACAGTAAATTTTGAAATATTTCGAAATAAACACAAATCACTACATAATATCAGTTATCTCCACTAATGTGAAATAACAATTTGACTTTTACGATATAATTGGCGTATTATTTAACCCGTTTGACCTCGCATGCTTCCATGACTCGGAAACTGTAGGTTAGGAATCAACATGCCACATGCAAGTTTCTTGGTATCCTGTATTCGAACTTTTGTTGATATTTACGAATCGCCATTCAATGTCGCTGGCTATGATAAATATAAACGCGAGTGCGTCATGTATATTTCAGTAAAATGCTACATACAATTTTCTGCGTTACGTTCATTCTAAATTTGGGATAGTTAAAGGAGTTTTCCTTTTATAATACATTTATAGATTCTGGCATTACTTTAGAACGATTGAACGGAGCATTTTAACAATTTATTCCATAAAAATAAAGACCATATTATCTGATTGCGAAAAATATAAACCTTAGAAGAGGATAGGTCCTCATCTACCAATGCTTTCCGTAGCAGGCGACTATACTGGAATATTGCTGAATATTGTACGAAACAGGCAAGAAAAAAACGAATAATATAAATTTGTTCTAGAATATACTGGAAAACGAAGTTTTACCTCAGGTTTAACAACAAAAGAAAATATGTTCGTTCTGGAATACACTGGAAAACCAATTTGTTTTACCTCCAGTTTATCCAAAATAAACAAAATATGTTCGTTCTTGAATATACTGGAAAACAAATTAGTTTCACGTCCAGTTTATTCAAAATGTTTCACCTCCAGTTTATCAAAAATAAACAAAATATGTTCGTTTTTGAATACACTGGAAAACAAATTAGTTTTACCTCCAGTTTATCCAAAATAAACAAAATAAATTATGTTCGTGCTGGAATACCCTGGAAAACAAGTTAGTTTCATCTTCAGTTTATCTAAAATAAACAAAATATGTTCGTTCTTGAATATACTGGAAAACAAATTAGTTTCACGTCCAGTTTATTCAAAATGTTTCACCTCCAGTTTATCAAAAATAAACAAAATATGTTCGTTTTTGAATACAGTGGAAAACAAATTAGTTTTACCTCCAGTTTATCCAAAATAAACAAAATAAATTATGTTCGTGCTGGAATACCCTGGAAAACAAGTTAGTTTCATCTTCAGTTTATCTAAAATAAACAAAATATGGTCGTTCTTGAATATACTGGAAAACAAATTAGTTTCACGTCCAGTTTATTCAAAATGTTTCACCTCCAGTTTATCAAAAATAAACAAAATATGTTCGTTTTTGAATACAGTGGAAAACAAATTAGTTTTACCTCCAGTTTATCCAAAATAAACAAAATAAATTATGTTCGTGCTGGAATACCCTGGAAAACAAGTTAGTTTCATCTTCAGTTTATCTAAAATAAACAAAATATGGTCGTTCTTGAATATACTGGAAAACAAATTAGTTTCACGTCCAGTTTATTCAAAATGTTTCACCTCCAGTTTATCAAAAATAAACAAAATATGTTCGTTTTTGAATACAGTGGAAAACAAATTAGTTTTACCTCCAGTTTATCCAAAATAAACAAAATAAATTATGTTCGTGCTGGAATACCCTGGAAAACAAGTTAGTTTCATCTTCAGTTTATCTAAAATAAACAAAATATGGTCGTTCTTGAATATACTGGAAAACAAATTAGTTTCACGTCCAGTTTATTCAAAATGTTTCACCTCCAGTTTATCAAAAATAAACAAAATATGTTCGTTTTTGAATACAGTGGAAAACAAATTAGTTTTACCTCCAGTTTATCCAAAATAAACAAAATAAATTATGTTCGTGCTGGAATACCCTGGAAAACAAGTTAGTTTCATCTTCAGTTTATCTAAAATAAACAAAATATGGTCGTTCTTGAATATACTGGAAAACAAATTAGTTTCACGTCCAGTTTATTCAAAATGTTTCACCTCCAGTTTATCAAAAATAAACAAAATATGTTCGTTTTTGAATACAGTGGAAAACAAATTAGTTTTACCTCCAGTTTATCCAAAATAAACAAAATAAATTATGTTCGTGCTGGAATACCCTGGAAAACAAGTTAGTTTCATCTTCAGTTTATCTAAAATAAACAAAATATGTTCGTTCTTGAATATACTGGAAAACAAATTAGTTTCACGTCCAGTTTATTCAAAATGTTTCACCTCCAGTTTATCAAAAATAAACAAAATATGTTCGTTTTTGAATACACTGGAAAACAAATTAGTTTTACCTCCAGTTTTTCCAAAA